TAAAAGCACTCTGCTATTCAATGATGATCTTAGCCAGAATGGCTCACTGTAAACATGAAGAGAATACAATAAAATTACACGAGTCCGATCCCCGGAAAAAAAAAAAAAAAAAAAATCACACATGAATACAGATGATGATAACTATGAAAGAAGAAAACACGGAGCACAAGTAGGGGAGAAAAAAGTCAAAATATCAGAGTCATCTCAAGCCATCAAAACTCATTCTATGGTAGAAGGGAAGTTACAAACAGTGGCAGTGCAGTTTTGCCTTCAGAACTGAAGCTCTGGGGCCTGTTAACCACATAAATGACAATTAGGAGAGCGAGCCTACCACTACCTTCTGATTCTGTCAGCTGCCATAGTGAGCTAGGACATGAACCTCCTAAGAATCTTTTAAAACTAAATAAATGTAATCAAATTTAAGAAATTTAAGAGACATATTTAAATCCACAAAAGCAAATTATTTACTACCTACTATATAACAAACTTTTTATTGAAAGTATCTTGCACTCACGATGAATGTTTTCTGAGTTTTGCCACATATTTTAATATTAAAGGTTAAATTACTTTTTACATGCAAGTAATGTGAAGCTTTCCCCACATGAAAACAGTGATTAGAGAAAGATGACACAACACATGAATTAAGTGTCGTCTTTAATTGAAAAGCTAACAAACTGTCTAGTTACATTTCTCTCCCAAACCACAAACTTGGTAGTTACTGAGTCTCTAGGCAACATACTCAAGGCTGAGATTAAAAATTTAAAAACAAATAAAATAAGACCTCAGGTCCAACTAAGGGAGCTCTGCTACATACAGGTCTATCTATACCAGTGATTCTGCTTGACTCTGGAGGCTGGAAGACATCCTAAATAACCCCACTTGGAACAGTTATCTCAAGCAGCCTTTTTCCAGTTTCCAACTTCGGAATAAAGATAATATTTTGTTAATTCTATTTCAGAAAACTTTTTGCAAGTTGTTTTATTTACAATGCCAACTTTTAAAAGCTCACTAACGTCAAATGGACAATAAACTAGGGAGAAATCACTTTACAAAAAAGAGGGAAAGCTCAAAATGTCAACTTTCTACACAGAACCCACAGTTCCATTTTATTCAGAATATTTGCTCAGACTAGAAGAAATTCAGCCATTGGTTTGGAATCTGTACTGAAACTACACATGCAATGAGAACAATATTATGCTAGTACAACTGATTTGCTGCTGCATTTGTCTACTGTTTGTCTAATATTAACAATTATAAACAGAACAGTGCAACTAGTATTTGGAACAATCCTTATAGTGTTACAGTGTCAGGCACAACGTTTCACTTCTCTTCACACCACTGGTTCTCCTTGCGTACCTGGAAGAGACAGACAGAAGCGAGTATCTTAACTTGAACAGTCTTTTAAGACTTGTATGCATTACCAACAAATTCAAGAGCCTGCAAGGTAAGTCATACAGATCGAGTAGGAACACTTCCTGACTTCCTTTCTTTACTTTCTCACGTTTACTTTGCTCTGCTGAAATTACTGAAAAAGTAAAGCAAATGGGCAATGAGTTTGTCATCAAGGCTGACAAAGGAAATTCAATTACTTCATTCACATAATTTCAGTTCACAGCTATATCAACCCAACATTCTGATGTATTCATTTCTTTCCCATTCACTTAGCTGCTCTGAAATATGCCAGCATACACTCTTACTCTGGGTTTGCTTATGTGAAGTCAAATATTTATGGCTTATACAAAAGCCCTCATGTGCCAAAGCAAGAAAGCACTAATGAATTCATATGAAGGAGCTCCTCTGGATCAAACCCCATTTTCTTTTGCTTAAAGAAGAACAGTATCATCTAAGCATTTATACTGAGATGCAGACCAGTAACGATGTGAGCAGGATGACACAAAAGTACATATTATCTCTCAGGCATCAAGACTCCCTGATACAAGCATCTCTTTCCGTCTAATTAAAAAGCACGTGATCAAAGATAAACTATGTTGGGCTAGAGATTTAGCTCTGTGGTTTCGTTGCCTGCTGCGCAAGCACAAGGACCCAAGTTCGATCCCTGGTACCAAAAAAAAAAGATAAACTATGTTACCCACCTGGGCTTCCTCCTCTTCAGTAAAGTCATTTTTGATATTGAAGGTCTTACGAATCTCCTCAGGAGTTTTCCCCTTGATCATATTGGCAACAGTCTTGCATGTAACATCAAGCAAACCTTTGATGTCTAGGTAGTTTGCTGCC